GCAAAAAAATCAAAAATGGGCCTGGAATAGTGCCTTTTTCGCCTAAAAGTTTATCGGTTTTTAGATATGTATAACAACTGTAGTGGGCTCACCTGCAAACAGGCGTCGGGCAACAATCGCGAATGCGGCGCTTTTGTGACAATAAGCAAAGGTCATTATAGTGTTACGACCATACGACGTACGGGAATGAGTTATCAGCTGTCTAATCGTAGACAACACAATGTCGAGCCTTAAACTGTAAGCCTGTATTGGTATTGTTTCTTAAATTTGGCTGTCGAACATTAATTTGTGGTTTGAAATATGATTTTATGTAAAATAATTGATATGAAACAGCCGTCTCTTAAGTTATGACCCCATTACACCTCACGCAAGTGGCAGAAATGACAATGATCAGCTGACGCATTTTTCTTGGCCGAAGTCAGAGCGCGCGGCCCGACGCACCACGCGTATTTGGAAATTCCGACCTCGACGAGCATCAGAAGCCACCTAACAGGCGTGTTCGAAACCGCAGGAGATGATGATGAACGGGTTTATCGAAACTTGATTGGATGAGCCTATCGGTAATAGCGATTTTAGTGTGTGCATTTATTGTTCATAGTGGTGTGAAATGTGGTTGGGGTACGACCGACAACCCGTCGGGGCGAATTTCGCACTGGGGTACTCAAAATTTGAAGAATTTAAGACGTTTCCATAAGTTTTGAAGGTATGGATAAGTTCTAAAAATCCGGTTCTCCTTATCCGGGTCATTAACTCCATATGGTCCAAGAAAGCTGGCACACTACCTTTAAACGACCTCTTACTCTTAACCCTCGCCCTGGCAGGGCATTTTTCATAACACGGCCTGGCAGGGGGGGGGGTCGATGCGACCCCCCCCCCCCCTCGCGATTGGCTCCTATGGCACCTAGAAACACCAAATTTGGTAGGTAGGTGGGCCCCCTGGAGTTCTCGCCCCTGTACAAATTTGGTTGCTCTAGGTCAATATTTAGGGGGGTTTTGGGGGGTATAAATGTTAAAATTTCGCTAAAAACAGGCCAAAAGTTTTTCGCTTATAACTTTTGATCTAATAAAGATAGAGAAAAAAGAAAAGCACCAGTGAACTCAGCACGTCAAGGCGCGTCGAATGATATACTTTTTAGCTTGCTTAAGTGTACTTAAAGTTTTTCTTAAATTTTAAGTAAACTTAAATTAATAAATTAAGTTCAAGTTAACCAAACTGCATCATATCGCATATCATTCGATTCGGCTGATCACCAGGAACACAATGGTACCATTTTTTAAGCTCTAGCGTTATTATGTGCCAAGTTATTGGCAAAAACGTCATTTGACCTCAGTTGACCTCATTTGACCTGACCCATGGATAAGTACACCAAACAACGAAGCACCAAGTGACCTGCTGTTAAGTACCGTGGTTTCAAAGCACAAAAGTGATAGAACGAAGCGGATATCTCCAGTATTTTCCGAATTTAGTATTTTCCCATAGGCTTAACATTACGACGTAATGACCTCTAACTGACCTCAGGTCAGTGACCTCAAAAAAACCGGAATATATGTTATACAACTCGGTGAACTTAGCACATCCTGAAAGTTTGAAAGAAATCAGTCGAAAACTGTGAGTTGGACAGGTGCAAAAAGAAAATTGAAATTTGACCATGACCTTGTACCGGTTTTTCTGACCTGGTGACCTGACCCAAGGTCACCCGGACCTGAAATTTTCAGGTCATATGTAAAAAGGTTGCCCCATAGGCTGTGCCAAATTTGGCGGCGCTGCGCGCCGCCGTTTTTACGCTATCTTCGAAAAACCTTAGGGGGGGGGGTCGCATCGACCCCCCCCTGCCAGGGCGAGGGTTAAAAGGCCTTCCTCGAGTTTGGGATCTAAGGACCCAATGCTGCTAGATAACCGCACCTGTCGACCCGATTCCAGATGCCTGATTTCTTCAGCATAGTACTCGCCTTGTATTTGCTTGAGGACAATGGTTTCAGCTAGTCCAAGCTCATTCAAAGTCAGTTCAGTTGATCGAAACAGGTGATTTCTATCCCTTAATTAACCCATTTACGCCCTTCGTTGCGTTTTCGCAACGCAAGCAAGCGTCGACGTGATCGAAGCTTGAAAGGTGTGTAAAAGAGACTAACCGATGAGACAAGTTTCAGCGTGTGTAGCATGGTTGTGCGCATGATACTACGCAGTTACAAGTCTGTGCGGCCGGTAAGTTACTGCCTAGAGCTCCCAGAGGGAAGACGAAGGTTTTGTGAGTGATGACGTCACGAAAACCAAGATAAGTAGGCTAAGTGCTTAATAATATCGTAATGAAAATTGTGTAAACATATTCTGCAGAGTCCTTACAATAGCGTAGATATGCATTTTGTTAAGAAATAATGCTACAAAAAGGGTTTGTGACTATTTTCAAATATGACTACGGTCGCGTTGCGGGAACGCAACGAAGGGCACATCGGAAAGACAGCGGTGTTGCGAAAACGCAACGATGGGCACATTGGCAGGGTAGCGGAAGTATGAATATCAACAGTAGACTTCACTCGTGATACGCTGTGGGTTCTCTCTTTCTCTACCCCATCTTCCTCCCTCTCCTCCTCGTTCCCCAACTCTCTCCCCCCCCCCCTCTCTCTCTCTCTCTCTCTCTCTCTCTCTCTCTTTCTCTCTCTCTCTTTCTTTCTCTCTCTCTCATTTTGTAGCCATGAGGCTGTAGCGGCGGAACATATTCAATTAAGGGGGGGGGGGAGCACTGCTGACTTTTGGTCTCATTCTTTCCATTTCCATTTCCATGCAACGCCTATCGGGATAATGTTAAAATGGCAAAATCAAGGGGGGCACGGTGCCCTGGTGCCCCCTCCCCCCGCTCCGCCGCCTATGCCATGAGGGACGTAGGTATGTTTAGTGCAAGGTGCGTTCGCACGTAAAATGTTGCGACACATTTCATATTTGCTGGCTCAAACAGCCACAAACACTCCTTTCTTTTTCTCTCGCAGATTTTCGGCCTCGGGCTGTTCGTTCACTAAGCAATGTGTTCCCATGCATCTGAAAATCGCATGGTAGGAAAAGGACCCATGCATCAAACGGTCGGCGATGCTAACGGAGCTGAGAGATAATTAGGTCCTTTGGGAATTGGATCTACTATGTACATTGTGCATAGATAATGAATAACGGGGATGTATTCTGGTATCAGGCGACAGATAGGCATCGCCATTCTCTGGATAGAATCTGCTGACTACCAGCATTTACGTTAGAAAAGATAACTGAGGGTCGGCAAATAGTGGGATAGGCCCCCTCTGAGGGTAGCTGAGCCCTTCGGCAGGGGTAATGAGGGCGGACCCATGGGAAAATAATAATTTTTAGGATTCATAACTCGCATAGATTCATAAGCTGCTTGATGTGGAGTATACGCCTGTTTTCTTACTTTGATAGGCTTTTTATCTAATCAGACCATTTTTAGAGCTAGCAGGATTATTGGAATTAGGGGAGACATTTGTCTGACCGGACACGGTCAATCGTAGACTGGAGACTGAGCCCAGCCAGTGGGCAGCCGCCACCCATGACCCACCCCCTTCCCCCCTCCCAAGCACTCACTGCACCCGGCTACAGGCGCGCTCCTATGTGAGCTGCCCGATTCAGATTGCGATATACGTTGCCGGTCCAGCCCGGAACAGGGGGATGAGGCGTGGAGGAGGATTCAACTATCCTGAAGATGGAAAGGACGGATTGACGTCGAATCACCATTCTGTCCTGGCATTGTCTCGAGAAAGAGGTTACACGTGAAGGTCGCTGAGAGTGGGGCCATGAAAATTTTGGATTAGGTGTAAACATGATAAACTGGGAGTCGATTTGTTGTGATGCGCTACGCCTTACGCGGGTAATTTGTTAGAGCCGGATCGGTCCTTTTTTCTTTTTGCTGAGAGTGGGTACGACTAACCTGCAATGGAATTTAACTTTACTCCTAGGAGGGTGGTTAAAAAATGATTGCGGATATACGCGCATACGAGAGGCACTGGTTTACTCCCAATCCTCCGTTTAATTGTATTCAGTGTGCTTTGTGCAGGGTCTGATAGGTGGAGGTAATGGATCTGTCTAGCTTCCAAAAAGAAAGCATCACCCTGGATACGTATCGACCACAACTTTAAATGAACAGCAATGGACAATGTAAATGGTTGATAATGACCGTGTTGCCATCTCCCCGTTCGCGAATCATGAAGTTATGCTTCCTCACTGAGGCTCTTAGGCGGGTTATAGAGCATGACGGATGTGGGTTCCGCATTTTCAAGCAATAGTTGTCAACAGTTGATTGATGTTTTGTCAAAACATATTAGCATATACGGCAGTTCAGTGTACTTTATGTCCGTCTGGTGTGCCCATCGTTGCGTTTTCGCAACGCTGATGGCGCCCGGTGTGCCCTTCGTTGCGATTTCGCAACGCATGTTTTTTACGTTTTTCTCGAGAAACTTTTGCTGCAGGCAAAAATTATTTTCGATTCCATACAAGGCCTTGGTAGGAGCATAACATATTTTGATTTCGTCGATTTTCATGATGGTCAATATTCCTGGGCATAAATGGGTTAACTTGTCCATTACCCGACGAATCCAAACGATGCCTCTTATCAACCTTGGCCACGAGGAATAATAGGCGATCAATTTTTGAACAGGACTCTGGTTTTCATTGTGCATTTTCAGTGGGGTTGCCTTTACCTTCATTTCAGGGTCGAGCCCATTCAAATCCAGTCCTGGAAGATGAGGCCATTGTTCCCTTGGATTTTGTAGAAAAGCGGGTCCCTGTCTCCACATTTCCTTTTCGAGGAGTGTGGGCGCATCGCAGCCGCGTGAGAGGAGATCAGCCGGATTGTCCTCCGAAGGAACCCACCTCCACTCCTCTAACAGCGACCCATCTCGGATAGCCGCCAGACGATTTGCTACAAATATGTGGAATCGAGCTGTTTCGTTCATTATATATGATTTATTTATACTTATATACTTATTACTTATACTTATTTCGTTCATTATATATATAGGACGGTCGTACTATCGGTCCAAAAATAGCGGCAGGGTTGAACCTTGAACTCCAATGCTCTTTCCAATTCCAAATTGACCTTAACTGCTAGCGTTGCCGCGGATAGCTCCAATCGCGGGATGCTAAGCGGTTTAATTGGAGCTAGGTGACATCTACTACACAGGAGGGTGCAGGACGTCCGGCCCTCTTGAGTGACTACTCGCAGGTACGAGGCCACGCCATAGCCTCGTTCGCTGGCGTCTGAAAAGTGGTGTAGCTCCAATCTGGTTGAGGCCGAAAAACCGCTTTGGCAGATGCACCGTGGAAGTGTATATAGAGAGAGAAGTCCCAAATCGGCCACCCATCTTCTCCACTGTTTGCAGTATTCCCCGGGCACGGATTGATCCCAACCCAACCGTAAACGAGTTAGTTCCTGCAGAAGCATTCTGGCTCGCATGACGTAGGGGGCTGCGAGACCCAAGGGATCATAAAATGCGGCTATCGCAGAAAGCATTCCCCTTCTTGTCAGAGGTTTCCCTGTAAACTTGCTAAGCTCCAGTTGGTATCCTAATCGATCTGATTGCACGTTCCAACTGACGCCCAACGCCCGGTCTGTAGGCAGAGTGTCTATTCTAAGGTTCAAACTTTTAATCTTGGGAGAGTGATCGGCCTCAGGAATCGAGTCCAGTACGATTACACTGTTACTGGTAAATTTGGTGAGATTAAAACCTCCCTTCGAGCATAATTGCTTCAGGCTCAATGCCAGATTTATAGCGTCGTTTTCACTAGTCGTTGTCACGAGGCAGTCATCAACATAGAAGTTGTTCAAAACCGTCCCAGGCACTTGTCGGTCATATACTGTTCCGTGATCCGTAGCTGTGCGTCGTAGGGCGAAGTTCGCGCAACTGGGCGAGGACGTGGCCCCAAAAAGGTGGACCGTCATCCGGTATTGTTTTGGGCTTGCTTTGATGTTCCCATCGGGCCACCATAAAAACCGTAGGAAGTCGCGCTGATGTTCAGGAACCTTTACTTGCAAGAACATTCCCTCGATATCCGCCATAAAGGCAACAGGTCCTTGCCGGAAACGCAGGAGAACGTCCGTCAAAGAATTTGTAAAGTCTGGACCTCGTAATAACTCGTCATTTAGGCTGGTACCTTGAAACTGGCAAGCACAATCGAAAACAACTCGTATTTTATCTTTCTTTCCCGATTGTTCAATTCCGTGATGGGGCAGAAACCATACACTCCCATCTCTGATGTGAGAGCTCTCAGGAGCATCTTCAGCATATCCCTTTTCCAATAATTTGGTCATCTGCCTGGTGTATTCTTCTGCAAAGTTTGGCTGATTTTGAAATCTTCGTCTAAGCTGCTCGAGTCGTCTGTGAGCTATCAGTTTATTGTTAGGCAGGACAGGACACGAGCTCCGGAACGGTAATGCTATTTCATACTGCCCATTTCGAAACGTACAGGAAGACTCTACAATCGAATGCCAGATAAGGTCTTCCGCAGATGGACCTGTCTTGTACTCTGCTCTATTACCACACGAATCTTCATCAAATGTTAGCTGAGTTTGGTGAATGTTAACTTTGAGGCGACTATTGGTCGCCTTCTCTGCGCCACCAAGAACCCATCCGAATCTGGTCCTAACGGCGAACGGACCACCGTTTTGACTTGGGACTACCTCAATCGGTTCCATTACAGCGGCAACATTATTTCCAATTAGAAGTCCCACATCTCCCGGAACATTCTCCTCTAGATTTACTCCTCCATTAATAAGGTATGGCCATTTCTTTAAATCATTTGCATCGGGAGCGTCTTCTTTGGATACTGGTATCCGGTTTAGAACGATCAGAGGAGGTAACTCCAATCGGCTAGTAATATCCAAATCTTCCATAATTACTCGGGAGACCATGCATGTGGCAATTCTCTGATCTGAATTTATAGTTGAAAGTGTAACGGATGTGTTTTCAGTTGGTTGCGCCCCCAGCTGGTCAAGTAACTGTCGGGAAATAAAGGAATGGGTACTGCCGGAATCTAAAAACGCGGAAGTTGGCACTGTTACTCCAAGGAGTGTAACGCGCACAGGCACGACTTGTAACTTTGCCCCGCCTCTTGATGCCAGATGTCCTGATGTGACTGTTGGTAGGAAACTTTCTTGCCGGTCGAAGTGAAGCGCAGTTGGATGTGACCCTTGACACGTCTTACATATTTTCCTGTCTTTACAATATTTGGCAGTATGATTTGGGCGTAAACAGCCAAAACAAAGTCGATTTGAATGGATGAACTCAATCTTTTCGTCCCTTTTCATCCTCCCAAGCTGGGGACATTCCGAAATTTCATGATTTTGGTCGCATTGAAGGCATGTCAAAGGAAAACGTGAAGGATTCACGTTACCAGATAAGAGCTTTCCTCTTACGCTATTCCCTGGTCCAGGTTTTCTTTCTCCATACAATTGTTTCGCATTTTGGGAAGTAACATGCCGACCGTACGATGGATTGCAGGCAATCCGAGCCTCTCGCTCGATGAACAGAACAAAATCTTTGAATTCCGCTTGACGGTGATCGGTTTGTTCGATTTCGTCTACTTTAACTCTCCATTTGTCTCTAAAGAACGGCGGCACCTTCTCCAAAAGCAAACGAATGGTTTTGACATCCACCGCGCCCGTCCCACATGGGAGGTTTGAGAGCGCGTTCATGCTACCCCGTAGCTGAATAGCAAAGGTCTCTAGGCCTTCTACGTCATCAGCCTTTAAGTTGGAGCACTGCAGTAATTGGTCTACGAGGCCCGCGGCTACTTGAATGGTGCCCCCATAACGGCGTTCGAGCAAACTGATAGCCTCTGTAAAACCTTGCTCAGGCGGTAAATGCAGACATGTGGACACTATTTCTCTTGGTCTTCCACGAGTATACTGATGCAAATACGATAATTTTTCCTCTTCGTTACTTACTTTGGCTACGATGTTTGCATGAAAGGCACGCATAAAGCACCGGTATTTTCCCAAATCTCCATCAAACGTTGACATTTCTAGCATGGGGAGGTGGAATCGCTTAGCCAGTTGGTAAGCTGCGTCGTCGTGGCTATGAGAAGGTAGAGACTCAATAACATGGTCCCGATAAGAAGACAGCTCAAATTTAGACGTGGATTCTCTGCTCATAGATACATTTATCGGTTGTGAAGTTACGTGATCTCTGGTTTGACCTTTTACTTCATTTTTTAAAGCTGCCTCTCTTGCAGCAACTTCTTTAATTTGCATATCAAGTTCTAGAGCCTCTTGCATGGCGTGAATGTTCTGTGCTTGTCGATCAAGCTCTTGCTTTTGCTTTAGACATGCTGCCCTAGCTTGAAGACCAGCTAGTTTTGCCTTCTCAGAAGCTATTGAGGATTGGGCAGAAATGCAAGACGCGGTATCATAATCGTCATAAACTGCCCTTTTGGCATACGTATTATACGCATATTCCTGTATATGGCTCGTCTGTAATCTACTTCCAGGTTCAACGGGTGATGCGGCACCATTACACTCAAATAAAAGACGGTCGGACGGCACCTCAGACGGAACACTGTCGTGGCCTAGACACGTTTTGAGCCGCTCAATCAAAACTGGCTTTGACCCCTGTGTGTCTTGTCCCATTTTATCAAGCATTATCCGCAGCTGTCCCGGTGTCAACGTATTTAATTTCAACATCTTCCGGACTAGCCAAAGTGCCAAAGTACCAGTGTGCTGGAGGGATAAGATATCAACCTACAAACGAATGTGGCAGAAACCGAACGCACTGGGAGGTTGCCACTTTCGATCGTATCGCAATTGGGTCGGTACAGAGTCGGTCAATCACACAGTGCGAATTTCCTACAGAACGCACAAACTAGCCGATGACCTCAGTAACTACACACTCAAAAAAGGGGGGTCAACCAAACCCGTAGGCCGGTAACAGCACCCGATCCTGGAGGTGTGACGATAGCGCAGCAATTTTCGATTATCCCAGTAGGTATCCAACGGTAGAGGTTGATCTAGATGAATTGTAGAAGGCAAAGAAAAAAGGCCATACCTTGCGCCGAACTTGCAAGAAGCTCCTTACGGTGACACGATCCGGAAGTCTTTAATGGCAGCTGACAATCCAAAACTGTTGCCGGCAATATCCAATACGCAGTGCAAAGTAATTCGCTACTGAATTTTGTATTGACTGGTTTTCTGAAAAACGGCAATTTCGTTTAGGAACAGAACAGCTGATGATGATAACAAAAATGAACACAAGAGTAAAAGGGTGACAAACAATCAGAAAACAGAATGGTACAAAAAACATGAACTCAAACGAAACAATAAAGTAGGTCACTCACGGATTGTTTCGGGCTGTATAGATGGGATGCCGGCAATAATCAGTCTTCTATCAAATGACAAGCCATGGAAACGACAGCGCAGACGATTTAGCTATTTCTTCGCGTCCGTAAAACAAACCATCTAACCAAATCAGACCATAACTTGCAAACACAAAAAAGAACAAAAATCTTAAAACCTTAAACTTGCAGACAAAACAATATAACCAACAATACAGCGAATCCACTCTATCAAAAAAGGGAAACCAAAAGAGCATGTGCCGCATTTGGCATGGCGCCGTCATGGATATAAATCAAATTTGATATCTTATCGCCCCCAGCACACTAATTGGTCTTTGGCGCTAACAATCAGATTGGCACATTACGTAAACAAATTACAAATTACAAATACAAAGCAACTCTCTCGTAGCTTTTATCTCTTATCAGGTTCACTTCACACGAGAAGGTTATATTTAGCGGAAAACTATCACGTCAGCCGACGTCACTTCAGTCACGACTCCAAACAAGCCGGACTCTGCGTCCATCTCACAATGGCTTCATTTTTCTGCTCTGAGCAGCATCCAAGGCCCTCTAGAAGACCTCCATCGGCTGCATCTCGAGCCTGAGCCATGAGACCAAGAGTAGACCAGTCGCGGCGGTGGCTACGGGTCTTCCACTGACCGCCCGAGGGGTCACACGTCCAACGCTTTGCCGCCCAGCTCGTATGATTTACTCTGATTAATACACGACCTACCAACGTGCTCTCAGTGGCTTCCGCGGTTCCTGGGCCATGTTGGTCATTGCGCTGCAGTAACAGTTGCATGATGCATGCGGTCTGTCAGATCGGAATGAGGTGCTCGAGGTTGATGGTCGGCAGTTGGCACCGTATAATTATTGATGTGATTGATTACGATATACCATGGTTGCTGAAGGGGAGGGGTGCGATGTGCCATGGATTCTTATGGCGATTTATGATTAGGTTTTGGGGAGTGCACAGATCTCGTAAGGAATAGCTAACGATGTGATTTGATTGTGTATGCATTGATAGTACGTACATAATACATTTGTCAACACCAACAGCCATTGCATGTTTAACTCATGTATCAACATTGACGTGACGACTTTTGTTTGCTGCAACTATTCATCAATTCAAAACCGCTTGCAATCTTGCCATTCATTCTATTTAGCAAACCACTCCATAATCACCTCTTTTTATAGCTGTTTGTATGATTCATCGATCCAAAATTTGAATGGACTGGGCAATGAAGATGTTAATCACTACCATTGAGTTCTCGTTTACCGGGATAAGGTACCGATTGGTGGTTATTTCCGCATCGGTATTCATTGCGTATCAAAAGCACTTAATTTATCTAGTCTTTGTTTCGTCAATGTTACGGGTCAAACGAACATATGCTTCCCATTAAGGCTTCTAAATTTCTATTCAGAAAATACTTAAAAGCGATCACCAAAAGTTCCTGCAAAAAAAAAAAAAAAACAATATCCACATCACAATCGAGGCTTATAGAAGCCCGAGTACTCTTTGTTCAATCACAGCAGGTAGATGAAAACCAGCCGAAGATCTGTAAGATTTAGCCCCCTGCACTGCATTGCACACTGCACAGCCAAGGCCCCGCACTATTCGTCTGTATTATAGCAATCGACAGTACTCGCAGTCGAACGGCATGCCTCCAGTCCTGCCGGGCCGCGACGACCTCGTGGGAACACTCACAGGAACCAGTCACCGCCGACACCGCCTCCAGGGGCCGGTGCACTGGTGTTTTTTGTCGTCAGATGGTTTTACGACCAGGATTAGCTACCGCACCTCTGCAAGGTGTCTCGATGCTCGGAGACGCGGGAAACGATTTGGAGCGAGATGTTGCAAAATACAGGGCTTCTCGATAGAACAGTCAAATGATAGCCGTTGACACTGAACATACAGGAGGGTTGGATTATGCTGTGAGTGACATGTGCCATGTCGACTAAGGAATGAATATAACCCAAAGAGTCGAAAGTGAAACCACTAATTTGAGTTTTAATTAATGTCATTCTTTCAAGGCCGTCACGCTTAATTCCAAATAATCTGTTCAGACAGGGGAAAATGATATTGAAGCTCACCTTTTGTTTAGATTTACCCAGGAATGCCACGTCCTTGAGAGATAATTACATTCAGTTCCATGAAATCAAACGAAAGTGATCGTTTAGTGGGAAGAGTTATGATCGCTCTGTGGAAGAATTCGGGTCACTGATACTTGTATTGTCTAATATGTGCTAAACGCGAAATGGAATGCTACAGGCATGCTACCGGAATGACATATGAACAAACCTAGGTAAGTGTATAAACAAAACTTATCATCTGGTTGACTCTCAATGTATGCCTTGGCCTTTCTTATTGGCGAGGCTTACAAAGTCTATTTAACTACTCAACATTCACATCACAAGCCACTAACTCTTCAGAGCCGGATAATGATTGTCCCGATTCGTTTCGAATGGGTTTGTAGAAATTGACGATCTTCTGTCTACCCGCCTCTACTCCTTATTTACAGCATTCTTGGGTATAGGGCATATCACCACTCTGTATCTACGCCTAATTGACAATTTCTCCGTAGTATCATTTCCTATCACATTCACTTAGCATTTAAAGAATGCAGGATTAGCTTTGGGTGATAAATTACACATATTTTCTTTACCTGACGATCTGTCACCGCATTCGCCTTTCCACTCAGAAAAGGTTCGGTCATTTGACGTTTATGGACTAAATAGCAGATCATTCATAAATACTTTGATTTGTTACGATGATATCAGAACGATGTAAGCCGTTGTTGATGTGAGCTTAGAGCTATGCTTATTTACTGATCTGTCTGTGTTCCTTCTACGGAATAAAAAACAACAATATCTAGGATAATAAGTGAATGTGAAAATGTGAGCGAAGAGTGCTATGGTGTCCCTCCATATTAACATGCATCATATCAAGACGACGAATGCGTGCAACTTACATGTACGAATACGCACTGCCTTTACCGATATATCATAGCCATAGGCGGCGGAACGGGGGGGGGGGGCACCGGTGCACCGTGTCCCCCTTTGATTTTGGCATTTTGACATTAAGCCTATGGGCGTTGTATAGAAAGAATGGGACCAAAAGTCGGCAGTGCGCCCCCCCCCCCCCCTAACCTTTTATTGTAATTTAGTGGTAGCTAAAACTGCACATGAACGATTGCAGTGTGATATGGTGATACGGTCAGAGATATATTCACTCAATTCAGTGTTCAGTGCTAAGGGATGAACATGCACCTGCAGCCGGACTGCCAAGGTCTGACAACGTAACCGCGCGTTTCATGTCACTGGTATTCATTTGGGTCCAATGTAACCCACATATTGAGAAATACGGTTACAATATTGTGTGTACTTTGATTCCATTGCATCGTTTGAGTCCCAGCATTAGGTCATAAAGAAGCAAACGTTTAATCTGGTCCACGCTGGTCAACTAAAGGGGCACACCGGAACATTCTGACGGACTCAAATTAAGCTTTGATAAAGATAGCGTAAGGCTTATGACATACTCTCAGATTATCGGTGGAAAATTAACTGAGCTAGGTATCCAATAACGCGCCTTTATCTTTCTATAATATTTTAACAGTGCTATAAAAACTGACAATTTCAGTCTGGGTATGCCTTTCTGAGCTTCACCTTTGAACCTATAGGTACCATTATATTAATTGATATACCTATCAATAAAAAAGATATTGTTTATTGATCATTTTCAAATCATCTTGTTTGCTCTGCTTAATATTGGCTAATCTGATGTACATTTGATGATTATATTACGTTTGAACTTTTCTTATGACCCTTCTTAGATAAATCTAAAATCAGTTCACAGCTATTGCAGCTGCGAATTGTAATTTAAAATTTCTAACAATATCAACAACGCATTGCAATCTATCTGCAGTGTAAAAAGTCAGGACGATTTAAAAAGACCAATCTAATTCCACCTTCAGATTGATCGCTTACATCAGGAAGATGTAGCTATTGTTTTCTCAGCCACCGGCCAATGAGGTATATAATGCCTTGCCAGTGAGAGTGGCGATCCGTATCAGGGCTGATGACATGTGTAACAGCCGTATAACCAGGCCTGTTCAATCATCTGTTCCCGCTGTCTCTGTGTCCGATCTCTCCGGCTCCCCTGTCCGAATTCCACGGATGGCCCGCCGCCCCCGCCCCGCCCCCGCTCCCACTCGGACAGCGTCTCAATCTGATCTCCCCACCCGTCCACCGCGCCGGCCCGACCCCATAATCACTCGGTAATTATTCGTGCGTGGTCCCTCTGCCCCGGGGTCGCGGTGTGCGCGCCCCACCCCTGCCTGGGTAGACAGGTCGGGCTGGGTCGGGCTCGCCCCCTAATGATGCCGCGACCAGCCCCAAAATCGCCCCAGGGATGGGTCCAACCATCTGATGACTTCTCGCCCAAAACACGGCTCCCCCGTGCGCAGCGGCGAGGATAATTGTTTGATAATTACACGGCTCGGGCGGTGACGGCGTGGTCCGGCGCGCTGCGGCGTGGTTCGGCGCGGTGACCGCAGTGACCGCGTCGTTTTTTGCCGCGGTGCGTCGTGCTCGCCGCGTCCAATTAAATCATTTTCGGTACGGGTCGGGATTTTGGACGACGTTGTTCGTCCCGGTGAGTTAGGGCAGTTTTTTACCTGACACCATGTTTGACCACGATCGGAGCGAGAGGGGAAGGGTCACGAGATGACCACTTGCGACCCTCCCTGCCGGACGCGGGGCCGGTCAAGTGATTTACTGCGCTGGCCATTCGGCCGGTCGTTTTACGGGCTACCTCTGTGTTCGCAGCACCTGTACCCGCCCGTGCCAGTTGAGTGCCAGGACGAGCTGTCTCATAAAAGGCCGGCCACGACCGTTCTCGTTTGTCCAGAGAAGAGTTGGGGCTCGGCCGGGTCGACTCTGGCGGCGCTATAAAGGCTCATAAACACTGATGTAGTCAATGCCGCGCCCGTAAACCACGGTGAATTAGGATATTATCGTGGCGGCGGAGCGGCCGCGGCGGAGAAGGTCGACCCCCGGCGAGATATCGGCAACGATCGGCATTCCTCTGTCCATGGGGTGACGGTCCCTCGCTGGTCACCGGGGCGCCACCGGACGCCCCGAGCGCACCGGACGCCCACGGACGCACCAGACGCACACGCCGGAGGTATGAGAATGCCTTCGATTGGGCACGGTCACCCACAGAAGGCCTCCATTTCGGTTGCGGCTACATTGCTGGGAGGCGCGGGGAAGACTTGTGGCGATAGAAGAGTCGCCTTCGGCTCCTATCGATAGATTAGACAGAAAATTGCCGACAACAGG